TTACTTCAAGTTCAATGAGAACAGCTGAGGAAGCTGCTATCAAGCCAGCTTTGGTCACCTGCTGGCAAGCCTGGCCAGTCGCATCCGAGTTCGAGCCTTAAGGACCGGGTTTCTTAAGAGATTGGGGTTAGGCTTGGGGACTTAGCCCGCGTCTCTGTGGCAGTTGGACTCAGACGTGATTCAGAAGCTTGGCGCCCTGAGATGCAAGTCAAACGGCGCACATCAAGCTTGACAGCTTAGGGCTTAGGGCCCAGCAACACCCTGAACCCTGCACGATACTCACCCCAAGCCCGAACCCGAAGCATGAAGCAGCTTGGGAACTAAAAGGAGTCAGCATAAATAGCCGATGAAGGACAGTTGCAAGCGATGTGCTCAACCATGACACACAACACAAGCATAGTCCTTCTGAAGATCTTGATGATGATGATGATGCTGAGGAGGAGGATGATGAGGATGATGATGAGGATGATGAGGATGATGAGGATGATGATGATCATGATCATCATCATGTTACGTTCTGTTCTAGACGCTGCTAGTGTCACAATGACCGTCGAAGTCAAACGTTGCGAAACTTCAGCACTCACAACACTGGACGCTTGAGTCAGATACCCCCCCACACGCTCAAACTCTGAAGAGGCCCTGACGGGCCCTGACGTCTGAAACCTCCTAGCTGCAACCTCGATTTGAAACCGCACAAGCCTTAGGGGCCTCAATGCGACCGACGACCTCGTGTAACACCCTTCTGCACGGCAAAAACATGCAACCCTCCAAGCCTTACGAACCCACCTCGAACCTCCATAGAACCTTCAAGGAGCCCTTGCACCAAGGACCTAACGATACCTAACGTAGGGGCATGAATGATTAGAACCGGGTCTTGGGGCATATTATACTATACTTATCATAAGGAGCCCCCAAAAATAGTCCAGGTAATCATTCTGGCCCAAAACCCTAAACCAAAAAACCCTGAACCCCAAAACCCTAAAGCCCTAAACCCTAAACCCTATAATTCCCCGCGTCCATGCCCTCAGAGCTTACAGAGTAACCTGTCACCCCAGCAACTCACCTCTGCCAACTGCTCTCGAGCTAGGAGCTTGGGTTCTTCCACCCGCAAGACTTCCTGGCAGAAGGATGGGGCTTTAGGGTTTATAGGGTGTAGGCAGCAGGGGGGGTGCAGGGATTACTGTAGGGGCCTTAATAATTATATTTAGTATTTTTTGTTCCCGTTTATAGTATAATTATTATAAGGAAGCCCCAAAATAGTATAGGTAATTATTAAGGCCCTTATATTAGGGTGCTAGGGTGTTAGGGTTGGGGATTCTTGGGGAGGGGTTCAAGGCTCGGGGTAAAGATTCGATGTCTTGCGGTTTCGGATTGCGGAGGACGGGATCCCAAAAAGGTGATGAGGGGAGGGAAAGCGAGGGTTGTGAATTTTTCGGGTTCAAGACGGGTGACAGCTTAGGGCTCAGAAGAGTTTCAGACTCAGAATTCTGGGATTTTCAGCTCTGAGACTTCTCGGGATGGCATGTAGGACGTGGAGTTTGGGATTTGGGAGTTGGGGTTGCAGGCTTGAGCTGTGAATGTTAGGGGGTGGCATTTCAAGCCAAGGGTTGAGGCTTAGGGTGCTTAACCGGTAAGATATGATGAGATGATGGATGTGCACCGGTTCAAAATGAAGCAAACGAAGGGCCGTAGATGTCATCTTCTTACGAGTCCTGTCACAGGTGTCATGAAGACTCGTGACCGTCCGGAGAAGAAGGAGACGTTGCAGATTTTTTACCGGCTGGAGACTCGGGGGTCGAAGCAGGCGATCATAGCCAGAGGCTACAACTCATCACGGATACGGATCTCAGAACCCCTCTATCTAGAAGGTGTGCCCATCGGGGTGCAGCTACACGTCTACTGGGGCACTGAAACGAAGTTGTGGGTTCCTATACTACCTGTAATGCCTGACAACATGCTAGCAAGTCCAAGTCCGAGACACTAAGCCTTCCTCCAAAGCAGTGATCTGTACCAACTACGTCGGGAAGGCTCCCGGCTTGCAGGATGCGCGAGATTTGGTAACGGTGAATGAGAAGCATAGGGAATATATATGTTTAGATAAGCATGTATATACATACATATTATATATATATATATGTGTATATACATATATATATATATACATGTATGACATACACAATATATGTATATGTATAAATAGATAGGTACATATATATATATATGATACATACATCTGCCTGTCTACAGACTGGTAGATGGGTAGATAGGTAGACAGATAGATAGATAGACAGATAAGCAGGCAGGCAGACAGATAGATAGACAGGCAGACAGACAGATAGATAGACGACAAACCCTTGTTACAGACCCATTATCCCCTCCTCCTCCTCCAACAAAACGACCCCGTTCAGTCATCTTACCTGCATACCTCTTCCTCACGTTTCAGGTGCAGGTTCGAGGGCTCAGTCTTGGGATGCGGGGCCCACTTCCGACTTTTGAGCAAAAGCTCGAACTTCAGCGACTGAGAGCATCGAGATAGCTTAATGGACTCTGCAACTCGAAACTGAAAATACTGAAATGAATAAACCCTACAGCGCAGCAAAGCCATAAGCCCTTACCACCCAAAGCCCTAAATCCTCAAACACAGAAAACCACGAGCTGTTACAACCGAATGCCAGCAGACCTCAGCAGCCTGAATAAGGGCGGCATCGATGTTCGCCTCCTGTGATTCAAGGACTTTCGGCGATCACGCTTCGAACTTCGGGGTCCTAAGCTCTACCATGGAATGACAGGATCTTTATGGAACACAGGTGCCACGTACTGCAGCCGGGCTCAGGCTGTCACCCTCCCTCACGCACTGCGTCACTCGCGAGTAAGCTGTGGTTCACTACGGTAGCTCTCATGCAACGCATACTCGGAACAAATCCTGCACGATGCAACGCCGCATGTATGCTAAGTGCGCATAAGTTAGAGCACGGAATGTGCAGCACGATGCAATTGCAGACATCATCCATATCATCATCATCATCACCATCATCATCATCATCGTCATCACCATTATCATCATCATTATCATCATCATCATCATTATCATCATCATCTAAGCGGCATCAGTGATGCTGAGCGAACTTATCTGGGACCCCAAGCCCTGAACCTGAGAGCCTACACGCACAAACCATGAACACCGAAAACCCTAAGCCCTCAAGTCCTGAGCTCTGAACCCTCAAAGCCCCAACCTGAATCCCGAACCCTCAAACCCGCAAGCCCTGAACCCAACATCATCGGCCCCTGATCCGCCTTGGCCTGCTGAATGGCGAACTTCAAGCCACTGACCTGGCGGCTTGACATTGGCACTAAGGGTGCCGTCCTATGTTTGGGACCCAAACGGGAACATAATTTAGAGAACTACCCATATAGGGTCTTGGTTTTCGGGCTTACAGTAGGGCTTCAAGGGCTTCAGGCTGCGGTGTACCGGGCTGGAAGGTTTTGGGGCGGTTTTGGGCTTACAGGTCTGGGACGTTCGGGCTTGCATACCAGGTGTAGGCTTGAGGGTTTCAGCTCTAGCGTTTTGGGAGAACGAGCTTTCGTGTTCAGATTGGAGGTCCGGGCCTGAAGAGTTTAGGGTTTAGGGTTTAGGGTTTAGGGTTTAGGGTTTAGGGTTTAGGGTTTAGGGTTTAGGGTTTAGGGTTTAGGGTTTAGGGTGTAAGGTGTGGGGCTTCGGTGGTTCAAGCTTCTGTGGTTGGGGATTGCGGTTGAGGGCGGAAGCGTTGAAGGTTGAGTGTTTGGGTTTCGGGCTCGGGGCTCAAGGATTTTGAAAGGTCTTGAAGTAACAGTGCCAACTGGTCAGGTGATGACGAACTGGGGCCCTTCCAACAAGTTCCACAAGTTAGCCATGAACTCTGGTACTCTAAAACCTTCTTGGCCATCCTGCCAAAACCCTTGCGAACGAAATGGGCGCCAGAAACCTACCCTGCATCCTAGACGCGAAACCCTCCGAAATCAAGCACGGCCGAGATGTAAGCGAGGGCCGGATCGACGTTGCGCTCCGAAGTCGCAGTCTTCAGCGCCGCCTCTGAAATTGCAGCAGGAAGCTGCACATAAAGGTGGATCTAGAGGCCTTCATAATTAGAATAGGGTGTCGGGGGTTCCTTTTTCTATTTACAGCATCATAGACCCCCAAACCCTATGCTAATTATTAAGGCCCCTAGGGTAGCGCTGGTTATCTAGGGGTTCTAAGGTGTCGGGCTCAAGGGTCCTAGGTCTAATTTGGGGGATCAGGGGACTTGCGGATTCCGGCTGGCAGTGAGCCTTGCTTCTACGTCTACTGACTGCGCGACCCTGAACCCTTAACCTGCAAACCTTAAACCCTCCAAGTAAGGCACGCAAGCTCCTACGAAAAGACTTGATCAAAGACTGAAGTAAAGACCTTTTGTAAGTCTTGGAAGTCATGCCTCTTTATTTCGTACTAGCCAAATTGGCCTCAACCAGAACAAACTTTGTTGATCTCGGCTTCGGCATTTGCGAATATTTAGTCTCAGCGGTGATTCCTCCTTCAGCCGGTTGCTCCACCACCCGCGTGTGCAGCTGCAACCGCCACGGCTCATGTCTCTCCGCTTTTGCTCGGGCTTCGGCGTGTTGCCCTCCTGCTCCAGAGTTACCCATCAGGCTTTTCCCCTGTTCGAATTCTTGAGGCCCCGATAGTAGATGTATCCACTTGCCCCGCCCCCGTCAGTCTGCAGCCGACTGAAACCATTGAAATTTACAAACACTGCAACAACCCGAGTACACCCTACTTTCTATGGAAGCCCGCGAAACGTCAACAGACTCCGAAACGCAGTTGCTTCTTTCTCTCACAGAGACCGCAGAAGCCCGTAAGCATGTCAAAATGCAACTTCCACTATTAAGCCCATCACACCATAAACATACAAGCCGCAAAAAACCTAGGGCCCAGCAGCCCAAAAACAGCACCCTATGGAAGCCAAACACATAAGAAGCACTAAGTCTTAATCCACGAACTCATCCATACCCAAGGCGCTCACGAAAGCCCGTAAATTGAAACCCATCGAATCCTGGAGTTCTACACATCGGCACCTCAACCTTTTCCTTGGATTCGGCAGCAGCAATCAAGTCCTGGTCAGAGCGGTACGTCTCTTCTTCCCCCCATTCGGGTAGTTAACGGTACCTACTTGAAGGGCTTGATATATTCAAACCACCTTCTTTCGCATATTTTACTGTAGCAATAAGGGCCTGCAGTGATAATCACACGGGTTGCACTAAGGGTCCATGCGATCTTACAATTGATCGCCAGCCCTAAACCCTAAGCCCCCAAAACTCGAGTTCCCGTTTTTACGCTCGCGAGGACAGCTGCCAACTACGGCCTGAACCCTTCAGCCGAGTCCGATGTAAAGCTTGAAACCCCAAAGGTTCCGAGATCCCCACCGGATTCTAAGCCCAAACGTCTCTGAACCCAAAGCTCCGTCCCTAAACCCTGAGACTAAAACGCCCTCGGTCCCGCAGAACTAAGAACGACAAAACACGTTGTGCAGAGTTCTTGAAGCCCTATATACGCTCTAGCGACCCCACCTCAAACTCACAGAAGCCCAAACTCGAAATCCCCAAACCCACTCAAGCCGGCCCTTCCTTCGCACTGAAGAGGTAGCCACCAAATCACCAAACCCGAAGTCCTAAATCCAAACATAAAACCCAGAAGCCCCACTTTAAAGAGACTTCGCTGCGACAGTTAGCCTCAACCCAGAACAATCTGTTTGCTGCCACAAACCCTAAACCCTAAGCCCTAGAATCTGCGGGCGCCTCCACGGCTTTCAGCTCCGTGGCGCTCAGCCCCGCGGCTTTGGCATCTTCCAAGGCTGCCTTCCACGGGCTGTATGACTCGAACTATACAGTTTCTGCAAGGGCTGCTGTTCTTGCAAGGGTTCTATGGGGGGCTTTACTATTATATATCGTTGCTCTCTGCGTCGATACCGGTTACGAGATGGGTTACCATAAGATGTACTATAAAGGGTTCCGTCGGGGCTACCATAATGGATACCGTAAGGATCCCACAAGGCCGTTGCGGCTCTTGCGGGTTGCTTTTGTGTTAGGATTTCCACTGTGCTGGGGGGTTCCGAGTTTTAGGACATTTTGGGGCTACAGGCTTTATAATCAGGCCTTTGGGTGTTTGGTGCTTTGGGGGTTGGGGGCTTCATGCTACAAAAATCTGCAGGATCCGGACAGAAAACCGGCTGTGGTTTGACGTCTTAGGGCGGCCCGAATCCCCTCCCCCTCATATGAAACTTCGGGAATCTTGATGCAGTGCTCTGGAGCTCTACAAGTCTAAGGGAAACGTGATTACGTTGAAAACTTAACCCTTACCCGAATGTCTGAACTTACGACCACGCCGCGCAAAGCCTCGCAGCCCAACCAGTAGGATCCCACACATCCTCCGGTCCGTCCTGAAGTATAGCCTAAGCCCGAAGTCCATGCCCCAGACTACGGGGGCATGGACTCTCGTCGAGTACGAGGTGCCTTGAGCACGTCGACGTTGCCGGACTCCTACGGCGGACGAGGTGGTCATCGGACCGGAACGTCATGTTAAATGAGAGAACGGCCTCCTTGAACCCTTCCGTTTTAAAACCTTATGAGACCCTTAGCCGCCTTAGCCTATAAATAAACTTACAAGCACAGTGCGCAGCGACCGAAGCTTCTGTCGCTGTGCCGCAGTCCTTGGCAGCCTGAAGCTTCTTCCGACCCTCCTGCTTGCGCTGCTCTGCAGCAAGCACCTGCGGCCGGCTGCGGGCTGACAAAGGGTTTAGGGCTTCGGGTTTAGGGGTTTCTGGGTCTAGGGCTTTGTGTTTGGGGTTTGGATCGCGACTGTAGAGCTCTTACTCGGGTGCCGTGGATAGAGGGTCTGGGCTGTTCACTTTTCGGCGTTGTGTTTTTTGGATGTAGGGGTCAAGGACTGCATGTAGGACTGTAGGGTCTTGGTAGTTTGACAGTTTTGGGGCTAAGGGCAAGGTTTTCGGGTCAGGGTTACAACATCAGTGCCTTTAGGGCTGCACGGCAATTTGGCAACATGCGCAAACCCTAAACCCCACCCAAACCCTAAACCCTAAACCCTGAACTCTAAACCCTAAACCCTAAACCCTGAATCAGGGTTTAGGGTTCAGGGTTCAGGGTTTAGGGTTTAGGGTTCAGGGTTCGGGGTTTAGGGTTTAGGTTTCAGGGTTCACAGTTCAAGGGTTCAGGGTTCAGGGTTCAGGGTTTAGGGTTTAGGGTTTAGGGCGTAGGGTAGGCCAGGAAGGGAGGGGTTTCTTTCAGGGTCTAGGGCTTGGAGTGGAGCCTGGGACGAAAGCCACCAACCCCGGAGAAGGAAACAAACCCAAAGCCTAAACTCCCAAACCTATGAACCTATGAGTTACTCAAAAATCCAAATGCAAAAACTTGAACTGTATGACAGAGCTGCGTTGAACAGAACACCCCCCATAAGTACCCAACAGCAGGATTCCAGGAGTATTCCTTGTCAAGGACGGGGATTTGTTAACCACGGGTGATACATCAAACCCCGAACTTCTGGACACCCAAAACAACGTGAAACCAAGCCCCAAGATACAAAAACCCATGAACCTGAACCCTAAAACACGAGAGTGCTAAACTGGCCGCAACCCGGCAAAAAAGTCTAGAGGAAGCCTCAGCCATAAGTCGTGTAAAGCCGCATGAAAACCTGCCTTATACAGTCTCTGAACCTGAACCCTACAAAACCATATAAAGCAAACACAACAACAAAAGCATTAAACCCTGTAAGGCCATTAAACCCTGTAACGCCCTTCACCCTAAACCCTAAACCCTAACTTAATTGCACTACCACCCTTTGAGGCCTTGCTTGCAGCTTCAATCTCCGCTCCGGAGACCTGCGAAGAGGCTTCGTCTCACTGAACAACCTTTAGTGAATCTTACCATAAGGGCAGCTTGCCTTGTTGGTTTTACGCATTTGGGTATGTGAGCTTCTGGGTTTGAGAGCTTAGGCTTAGGCTTGCTATGATCGCTATCTGAAGGCTTTGGGCTCCGGGTTTGAGACTTCAGAGAAGAAAGGGTTTGTGGTTTTGAGGCTCAGCATGTGGTGCTGATGATGACGACGTGACGACGGTGGCGATGACAATGGTGACAGGTACAGTGGTCTGGCCAATGAGGCGGTCCAGTAGTCAGGCCGGGATAGGCCGGGTAGCAAGGCCCTAACCCTGAACCTTGCATGTTAAAACCCTAACCCCGAACGATCAACACTAAACTGTAAAAGCCCGAGACTCAACGCTAAGCCTAAACTCTTAAGCCTTGAACCTCGAGAGTCCAAACGCAGGTCCTTTTGCACCGCGCCTCGACGCTGCGAGCCTTCTCCAGCGCCGCCTCCAACCTCCGGTGCTCAAAACTGTTGAGGAGGCTGGTCATGTGGGGGTTTCCGGAAAAAAGGTGGGCCCTAATATAGAACCCTTAATTAATAGTAGGATCCTTATTATACGGACCCCAAAATAAGGCACCCCGAATGCTCGGAAGCTCCCATGTTGGTATATGTATGTGTAGGCGTGGATGTAGATGCACATGTAGGTGTAGAAGTGGATGTAAATACATAAACTTGCATTTGTATATGTAGACATAGATGTATTAGAAGTACATGTACATCCAGGTGCAGATGCATCTGTACGTGCTGTACATGCATATGTGTGTGTGCGCTTGCTAACGTTCTTGGCTGTTAGTTTTTGTTTTGTTTTGTCTATTCTTCTTTACTTGCTGTATCGAAATCTAAGTTCGGTGCATAGATGGAACAACGGTTTATACGTTGTGTGCTCAATGACATGCATGCATGCCTGCCTACCTGCCTGCCTGCCGCCCTGCCTCTCTCCCTCCACCCCTCCCCCGCCCCCCTCCCTCCCTACTTACCTACCTCCCTACCGAACCAACATACATGCACACTTACACACATCTCACCTACACGCATACACACATACACACGTACACGCCTACA